ATAGAGGAAACCCCTAAACCAACATGCCAACCCCGGAGCTATGCGGAAGCCGTTACGCAGGGAGCTCCCAAGGAAACGCCACGCCCTAAACACAAGGCGACAGCGTATAAGACCCTAAAGGCACAGGACTTAAAAGAAAAAGACAACAGGCTTTTTATTAGACTTCCTCCGGACCACCCAGCGCGCAACCACCAACCCTTCGCAATCAAAGCAGCTATTATCACGCAACTAGACCTCGTAAAAGATACTATACGAGAAGTCCAACACGTTAAATCAGGGATTACAATCGTCCCAAGCGGTAAAGCTGCCACGTCAGCAATCCGGGGCAAAGCTGACAATATAGCCACCCTCATTAGCGGGAAAGCCGAAATCGCACAGACCTAGTATACCTACGTAGTCGACCAAACCCTAAAGTAGATAGTCGGCCTTAACGGCGAACGATATAAGGTTAACCTACAATTACTAACCGAGGAGATCTCCTCCTAGACTAGCTCTACCCCTACACGAGCCACATAGTCGCGACGGTCTACTGAAGATACACTAGAAGGAATACTAGTAGTCTCCTTTACTAAGGCAACGCTACCTTTTAGGCTATTCGGCACGAGCGCTAGGGCTCGCCAAATCAAACGCAAAGCCAGCATTCTCTAATGTACTAAATGCCACGGCTACCACGACGCACGGGGCTGTTAAAGATCTAGTAGGTACATTAGATATAGATCAACCGATCACGCTGCTTGCGAGTCGGACCCTAAGTACTATAACTACGCTAGTCCTCATACTACAGACGAAAGAACGTGCCCAGCTCGGCCAACAGTTAAGAACGGAGTCATTACTAGGCTTTCTAAGGCTGCGCTCAGGATAGTAAGGAAAGCTAGAGCTACAGCCAGCCGCCTTACTAACCCTACGCAAGCCGGTAAGGGATAAGGTCCGGAACTAGAAATCGCATCAGACGAGACTGAACAGAATACGCCTTCTCGCCAATGAAACCGAGACCAAATAGGAATACTGGCCGTAACGAAATACGCCTTTTCCAAGCGAATGTAGCACACGGACAAGCACACTATAAAATAGCCCTAAATCTCGCCTTCGAAGAAGGGGCGGATATAATTCTCATTTAAGAACTCTAGATATATAGCCTCCCAGAGCAGAGGAGAACAAAGACTCACCCATCCTACTATATCTTTTACCCAAATGATGACTAGACAAAACGACCTAGGGTACTTACCTACATACACAAAGGCCGGAACCTGCAACCATCACAGCTACGACCGGCGGACACGGCAGATATAT